TGTGTGTGTGTGTGTCTTGGGGTTTAACTAGTGTGAAATGTGGTGTGGAGCAGCAGCAAAGTGAGAAGAAAAAAGAGGAGAAGGAGGAAGAGGAGGAGGAAGACCCGGCTCATCCCTACAGGCCATGTTGTACATTATCAATTATGTCCTTCTTTGTGTGCAGGAGGGCCGCAGCTCTGCTCTGCATTCTGACAGCTCTATGTAAATGGCTGGCTGGGGGCAATGACTTCAGAGAGAAGGTCACCCTTCGTCCCCCGGTGCACATAAATGGCTCTTTTATTCATTTTCAGGTTTACAAGAGTAGATGAGGAAAGGAGGGGGTTAAGGTGGGGCGGAGACGCGGAGAGAGGATTCACGACGGCCGATGGAGACTGACATCTCAAAAAATTACCTGCAGACAGCAAGCCCCCAATTAGAGGCGCGATCGCCACAGTTCACTCGACAGGCGGACCACGCCATGCAGCCTCCATGTTGGAGCCCCCTTCCACAGTTTCACTTTAATAATTCACACAAGGCAGGGAGGAGCAGCGAGGAGGGAGGAGGGGCATGTTTCTCACTTTGTATGCGAAAAAGAGCATGAGCATGTGTGACTGCGTAATGGGTCAGATGTGAGTGTGTGTGCTGTCAGAGGTTTGCCATTTACAGTGTGAGTCATCCTGATGTGATTTCAGTGTTCATAACTAAACATCTTCTCGCCTCAAATCCTCGGTCCGTTTCATTGTCCTCAGTCCGCTGCGAGTCTGAACAGATAATAAGAAGCTTGTGTGACAGGTATCATAAGCACCAGGCCAAACAGACCATGTAGCCTCCCTCTCCTCAGCTCTCTCAGCAGCAGAAATCAAACCAAATCAATAAAAGTCATCTCTTCAGATGAACCCGAGCCATCAGGGGGAAGCAAAACTCCTTTTACTGGACCCAGGGGAAAACAACCCCCACCTCCCCTCTTCGTCTCTCTCTTTCAATCTCCCCTCAATCCCTCCATCTCTTTGTTGAGTGTCACACTCTCAGTTGTGATGCACGGGCGGGGGTGGGTGGGAGGGCACCAGATGTTTCCAGAATGGAGAAATAACACTGAAATGGAGGCAATTTGGGTCCTAAGTTTTAAGAGTAAACGAGAAAGAAGGGAGGCAGGTTTAGGATGACAGGGTTAAAAGTGTTGGCAGGACACAGAGGGAGAGAGAGAGCATTTTTCTACTCTGCTGATAAGGAGGAATATCATGGACAAAAAAGTATGAGCAGCTCAAGGACATCCTTTTGAGTTTCTTTTTTCATTGTGTTTCAATAGAAAAAAAAATCCTGTGAAGTGAAGTGAACTCAGCAGCGGGAAAATGCTGAGCTGTGCCATGCTGAGCTTAACTAAACTGAACCGAGGCAGAGGATGGGCAGGGCCAAGCGGGAGATTTGATGTGCTGTTTGATTCATGTTTTTCTGTCCAGCATCCCCCCCTGTTCCTCCAGCTTCCCCTACCTCCTCTGCCTCCACCCTTTTTTACTTTCCCCGCTGAGTTAGGGATTGGGGAAATGCCCAGGAAGCAGAATCAGGTTGGAAGTGTGTGTGTGTGTATAAAGGAACGGTGAGGGGGGGAGGGGCCGCAAGGCCTTGTCACTCACCATGATTGGTCGACGGCTCTGCAGTCTCTGGGAGGCCTGACAGCGGCTGCTGGTCCTCTCGCCTCGTGTCCACCGCTGGTTCACCAGCTCGCCCCGAAACTCATTTTCTAGCAGCAGAAAAAGAAGGAGGATGCAAGGAGGGAACGGAGCGAGGGGGGAGGGGGAAAGGTGTTAGATTTTAGGGGAAAATAAAGAGAAGGGAAAAAAGAGAGAGATATGAAATCAACAGCATCAGCACCGATGGATGGGGTTTGGATAAAGGATGAGAGAGGAGGGTGGGGGTGCTACTGTGGGGTCGGGCCACTCGAGCATCCTGCAGACACTCCTTTATTAACTAAGTGAACACTGTGTATGCTTCACACACACACACACACACAGGCATGGTTAAGTGCCCCAGCTGGTGTCCCTTGTCAGTCTGCTATTAGAATCAATCAAATTTGCGCATTTTTATCGAGCGTTTCAGGGTGCATATATAAGCGAACGGGGGATGGGCAAATGCGAGAGGAGTGGGGGTGAAGAATGGTCAGTAAATAATGAATCATACATAAATCAAGCCTCTTTTTTTGCTACCCCTCTCTCCCCTTTATTTTCATCAAGGTAATAGCTCTTCACTTCATCTTCCTGATTGGCCCGGAGAAACTAAATGTATTACAAATCCCTTTTCCATTCTTCCTACTCTCGGAGAAGCTGCCGATGTTGGAGGTGTTTAACACAAAACAGAGAGTTGTCCTTATATTCGCGGCTGTTTTTTTTTTATTCTCCTCAGTTTCAAGTTCAGGGAGAGTGCAAAGTATTTTTTTTCTGTCAATGCCCAAGGCTGAACTTCTCAACTAGTGTAGCTTTAAAACACTTCAGCAGCGGGACTCCAATACAAGCGGATGTGGCTCCGTGGCTCTGTGGCTCCCTCCCTCCCTCTTTTCATGCACCGCTGAGCTGGTACGGTGAAATCTGATTCTTTTTCAGATACATATACGCATCTATACCCTTTAGCTTTCACCTTTATGTGGATTTTGCGTGTCTTTGCAGCAGACAGCAGAATGCTGTGAAAGAGGAAGTGCCCTTGAGTTTGCAGTGACTCTTCTTCTGTATGGGCTACCTGCCTTGTCTCTTCTCAAGAACATCTTGGAGAATATAACACTCTAACACAGACCAAGGTTTGGGTCAGCATGCCCAATTGAAAATGTAAATTGAAGCAGCAATATTGTGGAAGGGTAATCACACACAAATCAGGATTTATACAGTGGGAATTCAAGGCAAAATGTCTGAATTTTGACAAAGAAAATTGAATAAATGTTACAAATTTAAATGAAGCTCTTTCAAATAACCTGCAGCGGTCTTGAGATGCAACAAAACATCAACCTCTTTAAACTTGAATATAAATCCCTGGCCTTTGTAGAGTGCAAGATGCATCTGTCCATCTCATTTCTTCCTTTCTATTATCTTTACCTTTTCATCTCCTCCTGGTTGCTTTCAGGGAGAGTTATTTTCTCCACGCACACAGCCTGCATGTGAAACCACAGTGCGTGCTGAAGACAAACAGTCAGTGAGACAACAAAAGGCTGTATCTGAGGGGTCCCAAAAGCAGACCAGCCCTGCCCTCCGTCCCCCTCCTTCCGCCTCCTCCTCCTCCTCCTCCTCCTCCCTCCTCCTCCTCTCCCTCCATCAAACTCCCCCTCCACGCCCATCCCTACTTTGCCCCATTACATGCAAACCTCGCCAAAGCCCAGCCAGCACTCTGCAAAATGCTTGTTTATCAACTTTCACTGCTGCCCCACACACAAACACGCTCAGCAAAAAAGTGATTACAACAGCAATACTGTTCGTCTGCATCTCTGTCTCTGTCGCAGCTATCTCCACACGCTCGCAAACTCACTTTCTTTTCTCCCCCTTCTATTAGAGTGAAGTGAAGTGAGCATTCTCCTGTATTGTTAGTTTGGTGGGTGGTGGTGGGGATGGGGGGCCAGGAGCTGAGAGCCCTTCCTAAATGCCAAATATATAACAGCGCTCTATTAGGACACATCGCCTCGGGCCATGTGTCAGCGTCCCTGCTCACTTTGTTCAGTCCTGAGCCACTGATTCCTGCTGCACACAGAGCCTTCAGAAACTGTGCGAGGTATCTGATCGCTGAGCTTTATAGAATCACAGGTAATTAATCAGAGGAAAGATGGCTGAATTGACCCCGTCTGCGCCACGTTCTGTTGTTTCATGTAAAAACCTGAACATCTGGTTCCCTTGCAGATGAAAAAAACACAAAACTAATTTGAGCCTTGTGTGCTCATGATCCGCGCTCTCTTCATTCTTTGATCAGATGCTGCTCGTTCGCACCTAAAAAGACTCGCAGCTCGTTATTTTGCAGTGAAAATTGGAGGAGTAAGAGACAATTAGCCATTCACCGGGGAGGTTTGGTTAATCAGAGGAGAAGGGGGGGCCAGGGGGGAGACGGATGAAAACAAAATGAATGGATTCAAAAGGGGTATTTTACTGCCTGTGATTTTATCCAACCTTGCATATCTGAGAGGCAAAGTTGAGAACATCTTTCCTGTTTTCTGAAACTACAAAAAACATTCAGTCTATAAATTGATACAAAAAAACCTTTTTTAGCAGCAGACAAAGTTTAGGCTGGAGTAATACCATTATAGGCAGGCGGCTTACTGCACTGGGACAATGGAGCAAAGAGGCCTAAATCCATAGTTAGATTAAATACCAGGGTGAACTGTCTGTAACAGTATTAGTGTACATACAGGGCTGGGGCCAGCTGTACACCCCTGGTCCTGTTAAGCAGGATTTAGAGACAACTTAGTGTGATTAGAGTGAGCCAGGCAGAAGAGACAGAGAAATCAAAAGTTGCAGGAGCGGGACAGTCTCATATTACTCGCTATTATGCTTTCTTTGTGTCACAGGACAAAAAAATCCCTGAGTGACCAGATTATCAGGCAGATGTGACAATTGGATTTGTGATGTATAGATAGGACCAGAGAAATACAAGCTGTGGAAACCCTCAGCCCAAAGGCAGAATGAAACACAGTGAGCTACAGGAGCGTTTTGTCAGAGACAGCTCGGAGTGTCTGTGAGGTGCTTGTGTGGTCTTATTGGTTACAGGATGGGCGTTTAGGGGCGGGGGTGTGGAAGAGAGGGCGCCATGGTAACCAGCTTTTGGAGAAGCTCCCCTGAGGGCCACCCTGACCTCAGCATCTGAGGAACAACACAAACTGCTGCTCAGAACTGTAGGGATCTGTGCACCTACAGCAGCAGTTTGTGATGTTTTAAACATTTCTGCATTCTCTCTGCCCATCTGAGAATGTCCGCACTTGGCTTACTTTTTAATTCATTTCTTTTTTTTATTTTTTTATTTCCCTTTTAACGCAGGGCATGAAATTCATTATTTCTAGGCTTTCGTTTTAAATGCCTGCTCTCCATTGAAAGCCAGGCCGACCCTGACCTTTGCTTGTATTGCTTAGATTTCAGATAGGCTTTGAATGACGAGGGCGCAATTTGGCCCCAGCTGCTCCTCCGACATGTTTATTGCGCTCCCTCCTCCGGCACCTGCTGTCCTCACCACGGGCTATTCAAGCCTTCACAAATAGAGAGGTTTCCTCCAATCACAGTGACTACAAAAACAGAAGCAACTTCATATCGGGGGCCTGTGCCACGCACAGATCCTGTACTCTGCTGCTGCAGCCTCCACTGACAGCATAAGGCACCAATAACCTAATTCTGTAATCCCCTGAAACTAGGCTACATTTCACAGGAAAAGTAAACAGAAGAAAAACAATAGGTGTCATTTCTGCCTATGGTGTGTTCAATCTTGAACTCATTCTACATGAAGCCTCACAATAGAGTCGCAGCTTTGCTCAGGCTCATTCTGTAAATTTTAATGAATATAAGCAGACAGTTGCAAACAGCCTAACAGAGGTTCGTTCTAGATTTTAAAGCATTTATTTAACAATTAAAAGACTTCTTCGATAAAAAGCCAATCTGATGCTGTTTCTAAAGGACTATAAAGGAAATGAAGTGAGTTCATCCTCCCTGCTTCCAGCCCTCTGATATCTGAACTAACCGCTGAAGTTTCCACTCACTGATGGAGCCACACCGAGCTGTCTTATAGGCTGCAACTTAAAGAGCGGGTGACATAACACTCTGTGTATCATCATCCCTCATCTCTTTTCCTCCATCTTAGGACGCAGGTGCTTTGACAGACCGTGAGGCGCACACACACACACACACACACACACAGCACATTACGTGGCCATCTAAGCAAAGCAAGAAGAGGGAGGGGGTTGGGGGTGTAGTAAAGAAAAAAGCACACACAACGCACAGGCTCACATCCTGCACCGCAGCACAGTCTTCGGGGCTGAATCCGACAAGGAGCACTCCGAAAATCCTACCAAATGTACCTCCCTCCTCCGACGCCCCGGTGATTATTTCCAGCGCGCTTCTGAGGACTTTTTTTTATCTGCGCACCACTAAAGGCGGCTGACATTTGAAGAGAGCATCTCTGTTTTTTTTGCTGCAGAGGATCAAATGGCCAACCCCTCCCTCTCTCCCTCCCTCTCCCTCACACAACACACACTCACTCCATCCTTCCATCCATCCATATGTCCGTGCATCCACACACACACACACACACACACACTATAGCATCGTAATAACACAATTTGGTGCTGAACTCTAGATAGATATTGCACTTTTCTGTCACAGCGCACAAACAGAGGGCTGGCGACTACAGTACAGCGCAGGGGCTGATTTATTCCTGGACATACAGAAGGTGAAGCTAGAGGACAGAGTGGAGAATGCACTCCAGGTGTGTCTCAGTTCGCTAAGAGAGCATTCAGAGGAATATAATAGAGTCATTTTTTAGACCTGAGTGTGTCCGACCCACTGATGAACTGTCCAACAGAGGCAGAGCGGCAGAGAAGTGGCTAAACGCGCATCAGCGAGGCTCCGAGAAAGCGCCATAGTTGGTTTATTTATTATGAGGCATCAGTGTAAATATGAGGGCTAAAGCAGCAGCAGCTCTGTTTCTAACACAGTGGTGCGCTTTGAAAACGTAAATAAATAGAGTAAGTACACTTTGAAGAAAGAAAAATCTGGTCAAACTGTTGAGAGACCGCAGCTGTGAGTAAGTTCTAAATCATATTCGAGGAATCATAAAATATGAAAATGTGAAAACAACACTAATCTGCTCAGAAGCACTGAGGACAAGCTCTCAAACACTACAGCGACGAGAGGAAGATCAAAGTTTTGCAAAAAAAAACAAAAAAAACAACAAAAACAAAGATCAGATTTGAAGTTTTATGATAATAATTGTATATGTATCTGATCATCCAAACATAACCGCCGTTAATGTCTCATTACCTGGATTCAACAATATCTCCGCTGGGCTCTGGCGCTGCGTCCTCGCTGTGTTTGGAGAGTTGCAGGTTCGCTGTCAAGTAGTTTTGCTAAAAAAGATATCCCGAGTAAAAGCGTTTTCTTTTTAAAAATCACGGTCCCGTTACAAACGTCCAGATGTGAGCGGTAATAAGAGCGAGCGGAGGTCCTCCGGGCGGCCCTCTCCTACACAGCGCACCGGCGCACGGCTCCGGATCGAGGCGTTAAGATGTTACTTGTTTGTAAGCAAAAACATGGCTTCATTTGCCTTTGTCAGCGAGAAAAAAACGTAATATTGACTTACCTTTCCCTCATGA